GTGCAGACTGGGAGACGTGAGGGCGATTTCTGCTAGACCAATCCAAAGACGAAGCTCGGCACAAAAGTCCGCGAGACTGCTGTGGCTGCTCGGTGGGGATTCTGCGGTCGGAGATATCGCTGCTAGTGGGAAGGCACCCTTCATCATATTCAGAGCCTTGGAGGAAAAGTGAATGAAAGGGCGGGGACTGGACATGTAAGTGCGTGCGCAGAAAAGGGGAGTACAGGGTCTCCTGTAATAGTGGAAGAAGAACGCTAATAGTAAATGTATCTGTAGGGCAGATTAACGTGACAAGTAATAGCGTCTGCGGAAGATATTAGGAAAATTCACATTTTTGTCATCTGTTTGTTATATTACACTCCAATGAGGAAACGGTATGGGAGCGTGCAAACAGATAAAAAAATAACAGAAAGTTATTTGAACAAGGCAAAGATCAAGAGATTAGCAGAATTTAATGATGTTATAAAATTTCGTGCCCTTTCATACAGCTGCAGACGGTCGTTGCCTATTATAATATTGCCCATAATAATATTAACATAAACTGCCACGCGGTGACAATTACCTCCCCCTCCTCTACCCCTCACCATGCGCCCACATCTGTGACTAATTTTTTCTACTCCCTTTACCTATCACGTTTCACTGCTCGAGGCTGACACTTAATTGGACAGTTAATCCTCTTATTAATAGACAAAGACCGTCTGCAGCTGAATGAGAAGTCACGAAATTTTATGACCTCATTAAATTCTGCTAAACTAGGGGTCTTTGCTTTGTTCAAAATTTTTCCGGGAAAACAATGCTTCAATTTTCTGAAGGTTATTTGCCAAGGGAAATTGGACCAGGTAAAACGGTATGCGTCAGACAACTGCAACCATAACCTTAAAGATACAAAACTCTAAACCTAAGCCCAACCCTAATACTAATTCAGTTTACAAAATTGTGAAAAATTCGCGGCCTAGGTGGGAGTCGAATCCACACAGCAGGGAAGGCTTTCGCGCAGCCAGCGCTCTACCATTAAATTGAGCCTAGTAGTCATTCTGGTGGATTCTAAATGATTGCTTAGGAAATCATTTCTAGGCAGTCAGCTTGCTGTTCCATAATGGTGCATTTCATACGAGCAGTAAGTTGGGCGAGTAAAACTGATCCAAGTGTGACTTAACTCATGGCTCACGGTGAGTCTCGTAGCTCAGTTGTAGGGCGTTGGCTGCGCAAAGGTCTTCCCTGTTGTGTGGGTTCGACGTCCAACGAGGCCGTGAATTTTACACAATTGGGTCAACTGAATTTAGTAAATCTACCAACCCTCCCCCCATTCTAACTTTATACTAATCTTAGCCCAACACGCTGGCCCTAACCGAAAAATTTGATCACCAGCCTTAAATTCTAATGCCGTCTATAAACACCGTGCCACAGGTACACTCTAGCGGAACATAATTACCTGAATCTTATATTATATATTTAATGCTTACTGAAGTGAAGTGATAACAGTCAGATGACCCTTAAATTTAAAATACTTTTTCGACCCTGACTTGAAAAACAAGTCGATAATCTTGGCCCCGCTACAGCGATTGGACTACTGCCTTTTACTTGTCCCTCAGCAGAAAGAGAAAGTTTGCCAAACTTGGCTTCTTAACTGATTAAAAGGACTGATTCTTTTACAGATGGTTATAATTTTTTATTGACAAA